TAACGGAAATGATAAATTAATATTGTCTGAGAAGGATATTTTGAGAAATACGATTTTTGGAATATGTTTTTTTCAAAATAACATTGGAAAAAACTTCAATAATACCATTTCAAAACATACTTGTAAAACTTTATAAATTAATCTTGTAAAACTTCAATAATACCACTTATAAAACGTTTATTATATTATAACATCTCTTATAAAAATCTATAGATAAATTTTAAATCCTTTAATGTGTTAAGTTTTTCAAATTTTGGTTTAATTGTTTGTTCCATAGTATAAATCTGTACAATACAATACTTTCTTCTTTTTTATAACCATCTTATCACATCTTAGAAAGTGTATACTATTTTATAACATGTCTTATAACTATCTTATAAAAATGAAAAATTTTGAAAAATACTTCTGAAGTGCCACTTTTCAAAAATGTCATCTTTTCAAAATCTTTGCAAAAATGTCATTTTTTCAAAATTATTTGCTCACGATATCATTTATGTTTGTGTCAACAATGTTGTATTATGATTTAGTTTTGAGGGTTTAGGAGTTTTTAGAGGTCAAAATATTTGTCAGGGTTTAGAATTTTAAGATTTAGGCTCTAAAAATCTATAATTAGTGGTATTTTTGCAAATGCACAATCTATAATGGCATTTTTGCAAATGTATACACCAGAAATGACATTTTTGTAATTGTCCCTTTAAAATTTTATACAACAATAATATTTTAGAGAATTGACAGTTAATAATAGTATAGAAATTTGTACAACAATGGTATTTTAAAAGTGATATTTTTGAAATTCTTCTTTTGAAATTTTTTTCACATTTGTATTTTTTTTTTATATTCTCCCTCAAATTTTGAGTTTACAAAGTTAACTTTAATCACACGAGTGATATGGTCCTCTAAAAGCAAAAAACATACTTTTATTGATATCATAGACGTCTAAAACCAACTCATTTTGAAACCCAAAACTAATTTTACCACACAAAAAAGGCTCAAATATTTTTATATCTAACCTGAAAAAAGAAAAAGAAAATAAAATGGCATGTGTGGGTCCGCGTGACATGAGAGAGACACACATTGGTAAGAAGCTTGAAGAGTTGGAAAAACGGTTTGGAGGGAAGAAACAAATGCAATGTGTGTGTGAGATTTGGTGAGCGTGTTTCATGTTTGGCCTTTCTGTTGCACAATCTCTGCCTCAATCTTTGGCACTTCGTCATCTCTTAATTACGCATCTTCTTCTCTTTATCCAAATCCTAAAAACGCTACACTCTTTTAATTTCCCTCTCTCTCGTTGTTTCTTCTCATCACATTTTAGCATATTTTACCGTCTTCATCACCAAAAGAATTACCTTTTCTTACAAGTTATAACAATAGCTTTAGTTAAAAAAAATATCAAAGACTTACTAATAACGAGTGTTTATCAAATGTTACACTAAACATCGAACAACAATCTACAGTTTAGTAATTAACGCAAAGACAAGTACAACGACTTGGATGTTGGTTTGTTTGCTTACTAGCTATTAAAGCTAACTTCTTGCTTTTTTTTGGTAACCAAATTAATCAATAAAGCTAACTTCTTGCTTTTTTTTTGGTAACCAAAATTAATCAATATCATTAACTGATTAACATCAATTTGTTCAAGATTCACGCCGTCCCCAAGCCAAGAAAATCGAAAAAATGCGGTTGCTGCTTAGCCTTCTCGACCACCTCCTCATCTACCACTTCCATTCCAATCCAATTCATTGGCTCATTTGTCTCAGATTTCTCTTGGCTCGTGGAGTCAGCGTACGGAAAATTGTATAACGCATCCGACGTGGCACCAACGTTATCGCCGACCATCATTTGGTTGCCAAACACACTCACTACCATTGGAGTCTCATTGCTCTCATAACCTGAACATTGTAGATACACCAAATGCATTACAATCAAAATATGCAAACCGAAAAATTACAAATAATGGAGCAAACTAATGAAATTAAAGAAAAAGAAGAGCAATAGACTATACTACCTTGAAAGCAATGGAAAGGCAACGCAAGCTGGCTCTGGTCACTCGTGATAGGAGCATTATTAACCAAGTGATGAGTCAAATTAAACTCGGGGAAAGGCTGAGTGAAGTAATGATTAGTGGATATAAAAGAGTGGAAATTAGGGCTAGGGTTAGGATGATGGGGTTTAAGGGCATTATTATTAATCATAAGCTTCCTCCTACGGAAAGCAGAGGAGTGTTCTCTATACTTACGAGCCATGATAACATGCCAATGGTTCTTGACAGAATTATCAGTCCTACCAGGAAACAGCCTCGCAATCATTGCCCATTTGTTACCATAAAGCCTATGTGCTTGCATCAGCCTCTCTTCTTCTTCCTCCGTGAAAGCTCTTCTGTTTATCCTCGGGTCCAATTGGTTAAACCACCTTAGTCTACAACTCTTACCTTTT